CTGCACTCCCATGTTCATTGCAGTACTATTCACAATAGCCAAGAAATGGAATCAACCTCAGTGTCCATCAGTGGATGAATGGATAAAGAAAATGTAGTACATACACACGGTGGAATACTATTCAGCTATAAAAAAGAATGAAATTTGGCCAGGCACAGCAGCTCATGCCTGTAACCCCAGCACTTGGGGAGGCTGAGGCAGGTGGATCAATTGAGGTCAGGAATTCGAGACCAGCCTTGCCAACATGGTGAAACCTTATCTCTACTAAAATACAACAATTAGCTGGGCGTGGGAGGCTGAGGCAGGAGAATTGCTTGAACCTGGGAGGTGGAGGTTTCTGTGAGCTGAGATTGTGCCACTTCGCCACTGCACTCTATCCTGGGGGACAGAGCCAGACTCTGTCTCAAAAATAAAAATAAAAATAAAAATAGGTCAGACGCGGTGGTTCATGCCTGTAATCCCAGTACTTTGGGAGGCCAAGGCAGGTGGATCGCCTGAGGTCAGGAGTTTGAGACCAGCCTGGCCAACATGGTGAAACCCCATCTCTATTAAAAATACAAAAAATTAGCTGGGTGTGGTAGCAGGTGCCTGTAATCCCAGCTACTTGGGAGGCTGAAGCAGGAGAATTGCTTGAACCTGGGAGATGGAGGTTGCAGTGAGCAGAGATCACGCCATTGCACTCCAGCCTGGGCTATAGAGCGAGACTCTGTCAAAAAAAATAAAATAAATAAATAGATAAACAAATAAATAAATAAAATAAAAATAATGAAATTCTGTCATTTGCAGCAACATAGATGGAACTGGAGGACATTGTGTTAAGTGAAATAAGCCAGGCACAGAAAGACAAATGTCTCATGTTCTTACTCATATGTGGGAACTAAAAAAGTTGATCTCATGAAGGTGGAGAGTAGAATTATGGTTACCAGAGGCTAGGAAGGAAGGGTAGTGAAGTAAAGGGTAGGGGATGAAGAGATTAGTTAATGTCTACAAAAATGTAGTTAGATAGAAGGAATATGTTCTAGCATTCCACAGTACAGTAGGGTGATTCTAGTTAACAGCAGCTTATTGTGTATTTCTTTTTTTTCTCTTTTCTTTTTTTTTTTTTTGAGATGGAGTCTCGCCCTGTCGTCCAGACTAGAGTACAATGGCGCGATCTCGGCTCACTGCAACCTCCGCCTTCTGGGTTCAAGCAGTTCTCCTGCCTCAGCCTCCTGAGTAGCTGGGATTACAGGCACACGCCACCATGCCCGGCTAATTTTTTGTATCTTTAGTAGAGATGGGGTTTCATTGTGTTGGCCAGGCTAGTCTCGAGCCCCTGACCTCGTGATCGCCCGCCTAGATCTCCCAAAGTGCTGGGATTACAAGAGTGAGCCACTCTGCCTGGCCGCTTATTGTATATTTCAAAACAGCCAGAAAAGGATTTGAAATGTTCCCAACACGAAGAAATGATAAATGTTTGAGATGATGGATATCCTAATTACCCTGATTACACATTGTATGCAAGTATCAAAATATCACATATTACCCATAAATATGCATACTTATTATGCATCAATTAAACAGAAGTCCCCTTCTTGACCACAACCTTTCCTGTCTGCCCACTAATCTTCAGAAGCCTCCCTGGAATCTCCAGTGGTGTGACTAACTGCTGTACTACCTTCAGATTCCCAGGCCCTCACCGTCCAGTCTGGACTTGATGATCCATCTCTAGCTGCTCTAATTGCCTTGCTCCTTGGCCCTGTGCAACCCATGTCCTGGCCACCACGCCATTGCTGTGATACACCCAGTGGTCTGTCTTCTGTTTTTGTTCCAGGAATGCTCCTGTCTGCTAAAAAAAAAAAAAAAAGGCTGCGTGCGGTGGCTCAAGCCTGTAATCCCAGCACTTTGGGAGGCTGAGACGGGCGGATCACGAGGTCAGTAGATCAAGGCCATCCTGGCTAACACGATGAAACTCTGTCTCTACTAAAAAATACAAAAAACTAGCCGGGCGAGGTGGTGGGCGCCTCTAGTCCCAGCTACTCAGGAGGCTGAGGCAGGAGAATGACCGGAACCCGGGAGGCGGAGCTTGCAGTGAGCTGAGATCCGGTCACTGCACTCCAGCCTGGGCGATAGAGCGAGACTCCGTCTCAAAAAAAAAAGAAAAAGAGAATTGTATGGTTGTATTGAAGTTGCCCCTGTCTGATCTTGGTCTTCAACCTCAGCTGGGTGGTCAGGTCTTCTATCTCATTCTTATATCTGTAAATGGCATTTCTAAAATGTGTCAATTCATATAAATCCTTAATCCAACAAATTATCCTCAATAACTTTAATTCCTACTTTATCAATGAAATAGAGACCACCGAGCATGAAATCCACCTTATGTCTATGAATAAAATCCATATCCACTCCCACTCCTACCTTCTTCTCTGTACTCCATTCCTTTCCAAGTTTTATTTATCTACTTGTTCTCTATATTCTTCCCACCCCAAATCTAGGGGCTTTACCCTATCAATATCCTCTCTCCTGTATTTCTCCTTTTTTGTTGTTGTTGTTTGTTTTTTTAGACAGAGTCTGGCTCTGTTGCCCAGGCTAAAGTGCAGTGGCATGATCACAATTCACTGTAGCCTGGACCTCCCAGGTTCAAGCCATCCTCCCATCTCAGCTTCCCGAGTAGCTGGGATTATAGGCACGGACCACCATGCCCTGCTTTTTGTAGTTTTTTGTAGTCTGGGTTCTGCCATGCTGCCCTAGCTGGTCTCGAACTCCTGGACTCAAGCAATCCTCTCACCTCTGCCCCTGCCTCTGCCTCTGCCTCCCGAAGTGCTGGGATTACAGGCATGAGCCACCGCACCAGGCTTCTCTTGTATTTTGAAATCTTCTCTCACTGGCTTCTTCCCTTTGGCTTCTAGTCTCTTTCCCTCAGGAAATTAGCCTTAAGTTCCACGAGGGGAGGGACATCCCCATTCCTTTCCAAGTTTCATCTACTTACTTGTCCTCCACATTCCCTCCCCAGCCAAGAAATCCAAGCTATTTAGCATAGTATGAAGAAGCTTTCACCATCTCCTCCACCCTTCCCTCAGCCTTAAGTCTCTCTGCTACTGTACATGAAGTGGATATGTTCCTCATTTGATTCTTGGTCTTGAGCAAAATTCATTGATTCATTTAACATGCATTGAGTGTCCAAATTCACTAGGTCATAATCTTACAGTAATGATTTATTCCCCATGACCATTCATCATTCCTCTCTCTTCTCATCTTGGAGAATCATTTTTCTTTTTCTTTTTCTTTTTTTTTTGAGACACTGTTCTGTCATCCAGGCTGGGGTGCAGTGGCACAATCACAGCTCACTGCAGCCTCGACTTCCCTGGGCTCAGGCAATTCTCTCACCTCAGCCTCCTGAGTGGATGGGACTACAGGCATGCACCACCACGCCTGCGCTAAATTTTTGTATTTTTTTTTGTAGAGATGGGGTTTCGTTATGTTGCTCAGGTTAGTCGTGAATTCCTGGGCTCAAGCCATCCACCCACCTTGGCTTCCCAAAGTGCTGGGATTATAGACATGAGTCACTGCACCTGGCCTGTTTTTGAATTTTCCTTTTTAGTTGACACTTTTTTGTTTGTTTTGTTTTGTTTTGAGACAGAGTCTTGCTCTGTCGCCCAGCCTGGAGTACTGTGATGTGATCTCGGCTCACTCCAACCTCTGCCTCCCAGGTTCAAGCAATACTTCTACCTCAGCCTCCCGAGTAGCTGGGACTAGAGGCATGTGCCACCATGCCCAACTACTTTTTGTATTTTTAGTAGAGACAGGGTTTCACCATGTTGGCCAGGCTAGTCTCGAACTCCTGACCTCAAGTGATCTGCCCACCTCAGCCTCCCAAAGTGCTAGGATTACAGGCATGAGCCACCATACCCGGCCATAGTTGACATTTTTTTATATCCACCCAGTTATTCTAAGTCATCTGTGGTTGTGGACTTGTCCCAAATAAGAGAAAATAAGTTATCTGCTTCCAACTCCTGGACCGCCTGCCTTCTCTCCTATCCCTACTCACTTTAAGGAACACTAAGACAGGGTGTCTTCTTAATCTTCAGACACCATGATGCTGGGACCAGGGTTGACTTTAGGTGAAACTCGAAGGTAACCAAATTAGTATCATCACCCTGCTTCCTCCAGGAGCCCACTGTCACCCACCACAGCCTTTAGTATCCTTCCAGAGGCCTTTGGCTGCCTACTCAACAATGACCCCTCACTCCTGGCCCAGTACTTTCTAAGCCATGCATACTGAGTCCAGGATCCCAAGTCACCCCTCCTCCTAGGGAATGGAATCACATGGTAACAGACCAGAATCTCTTCTTCTGTCTCCATGGTCCAGATAGAGCAATGGGATTTGGTGTGGGCATGACTGAGACTAGTAGGGAAGGCCCTTTTCATAGAATGCTGGCCTGTTCCCAAAGACACTGCTCATGGAAGAATGGATAAAGTCACTAGTGTGGTATTACTCAAAGGGCACGCCACGTCAGTGCTTAGAACACCAGCAAAACAGGGGAACTGAAAAATAAAGGAAAAAATTAGAAACAGAATTTGATAGTCAATCTATACAGAGCATATGTTTTAAGTATAATCATGTTGAACTTGAAATATGTTTCAGGGCTTAATATTTTCATTCTGATTACATATGAAAAATGGGACGCCACAATCTTTTTGGAGTTTAGAACCTTTAAAGTCTTCATCTAGTCTTGGTTAGGTGGAAGGTCTCTTCCTGGATGAAACCTTTCCTGATTCCTTGCCCAGGTAATACCATCTACTCCTATTTGGAGCCTTCTAAATGTACCCTGATAAACTTCTATCACTCAGCTTACCTAGTCTTTCCTTACTTCTACATTGCAAGTCCCTCCAGGGAAGGTCCTGGGTTTTATTCATCTTTGTATCCTTAGCACCTGTGCCTGGACTATAGTAGGAACTCAGTAAATGGCTGATGGGATTAATGAAGATATTTTTTTCTTTCCACAAATAGACACACAGTTTTTCTTTCTTTGTCTGTTTGAGATAGAGTCTCGCTGTGTTGCCAGGCTGGAGTGCAGTGGCATGATCTCGGCTCACTGCAACCTCCGCCTCGCGGGTTCAAGTGATTCTCCTGCCTCAGCCTCCCAAGTAGCTGGGACTACAGGTGCACACCACCATGTCCAGCTAATTTTTATATTTTTAGTAGAGACAGGGTTTCACCATGTTGGCCAGGATGGGCTCAATCTCTTGACCTTGTGATCCGCCCGTCTCAGCCTCCCAAAGTGTTGGGATTACAGGCATGAACCACCACACCCGACCTTAAGTTTTTTTAGTAATAGAATTGTCTTTAAAAAAAAAAAAAAAAGGCCCAGAGATCCTTTTTGGGTAGCTTCCTGTCCACCCAAGACTATTTCCTTGACCTCTCTAGTATAGCAGTAGACCATAAAAATGGACACAGGGTGCTGAGAAGTAGCTGAACCAGACTAAATGATTCTTATTTTGCAAGGTTTCAATCTCTTTGAGAATCCAGCAAAAAACAGATCCTTTCCCCAGGAAAATGCACAGACACATAATTTTTTAGTTTGGTTCCTGGACCATTTGATTGCCTCCCTTCCCTAGGAGGCTTTCCAATCCACTCTGTACCCCCAGCTTCCTTCCCACTCCCAGGTAAAGAACCCCTACCCTAGAGGCACTGGGTTCTAATCAGTATTCAGAGTGAGGCCACGGTCAGCTGTCCTATCCTCCTGGTGAGCCCATTCCTGTTCATTCTATAGTACCACTACTGCCCACTCACAGCCAAAGACCTGGGACCTCCATGGAAATGGCATATACTCTAAGAAGAAATAGTGAAGTTTCACCAAGGGGAGGAGGAGAGGACAACAGGACAGTTAAGCCAACAAAAAACCAACCACCTGAGTCACCAGAAGGGGAACAAGCCTAACTATTCAGCTCCTCTTCTGGGTGGCTATTCTCCTCATTACCTTTTAAACTGCCACCAAACGTAAGAAGAAATGAGTAAGAGTCCAAGCATTTCTTTTATTACCAAAAACAATTTGTTAATAAACACGCTCAATGCCTCCTATCCTGTCCCTGAGGATAATCATGAAAGTCCTTGGGGTTGTAGAGGAAACCTTAAGAGGAAAATGGCTAATTGGTTCTCAATGCCTTGGCTGGCGACAAAGAAAGGACCCTTGTAGGGACCAGTCACATGCCATCTTTGGGCCTAAGGAGCCCTAAAGATGGGAATGGATGTGAGCTAAGGATTTAATCACCGTCAAGCATGTCTTGAGGGTTATGGTTAAGCCTGATAACAGCCTCTTTAACAAGAACACACACACACCTAGGATCCCCTCAAAGAATCCAAAGTCCTCAGGCTCCCCACAAAATGCAGTCTGGCAGAAAAGGGAAGTCTTTAGAGTCCATAGAATGATGCAAACCCAGACCAGAGTGGACCACACTGCTCTCAGCACCACTCCTAAAGGCATCCATTGGCAACGGCTGTCCACTAGGGGCACAACCACTTGCCTGGCTCAAACTCCAGGACCTGGAGAAGAAATGGTCTGGCTCTGCGGCCTTCAAACCATCTGGATCTCTGGCTCCTCAGCTATTCCTTGAAGCTTTTCCATGATGCCCCCTGAGGGTGGCTCAGGGGCTGGGGGAGGCTCTCCTGGGGCTTCAGACAGCACATAGTAGACAATCTCTTGCTGGCCTTGGGCATTGGTCTGATTCACCACATGGATGACAGAACTGGGGTTGTCCTGAGAGGCTGAGAGGGCTGTCCCGTCGCCAACCTTGCCCTCCTCTTCCTCTTCCTTACGTCCTGGCTCCCCTGGCACTGTTTCCAGAATAATGCCCTGCAGGCTGCTCTCGTTCAGCGACGTTCCCAGGCCCGATCCCTCCTGTGGTTGCCGCAGCAGTTGCTGTGTCAGCTCTACACTCTCGTAGCGAACCAGCTGCAGCCGCATATAGCCATCTTCATGTTCCTTGTACCTGGTGAGGTAGGAGCATAAAGGGCAGCAAATCCAGGCAGGGGGATACAGAAATGGCGTGGAGGCTGGCAAAGTAAGGAACAAACATGAGGGATGGAAGAAGTCCTGGATTCCAAATGACAGGAGTTGAAGACAAAAAAGGTCTTTATTGGAATATGTAGAAGAAAAGGCAAGAGGGAAAGATCATTACTCAAAATGGAAAGTTTTATGTAGAAACCCAACCAGAGAAACAGAGACTGACTGTGTTGAAGGGTGAAAGTGTCAAAGGATTTATGGGAAGGCCTTGGAGCTAAGGATCAGAACCCTTAGACTCTAGCTCTAGTTCCGGCTGCAGGATTTTTTGGCACGATTAATTGGGTTTGGCACCATGCCTTACAATCAAAAAACAGAAAAATAAGCTTTGCTCCACCATCATTCTTAGGATTCTTTGCATCTAAATGGAAATGGTAGACATAAAACCACCATCAAATTAAGGTTTTCACAACTTGTTGGAAAGGTATAAAAACAAGTGTGTTAATCTGGGAAGGAGGGCTGAGAGACATACCGAAAACGGGGATGCCCTGAGGGCCACTTGAACTGGTGCTTCTTGCGAAGGTGCACGGTGAGGTTGTTGCCCCGTGTGAAGCATTTGTCACACACATGACATTTGTACCTTGGCTCAGAGTCTCCCTGATGGGGAAGGAAGGGTAAAATGATACCAGTTCTTCACCCCAGGGTCCCCCATACTTCCACTAGCCCTTCGCACCACCAGCCCCACTCACTTCGTGTACTTTGCGGTAATGGGACTTGATAGAGCAGAGGGAGCGAGCAGTGAAGGTGCAGTTCTCAAAATCACACCTGTAGGCTGGCTCCTCACTGTGGGTATCCAGGTGCTTCTGGAGGTCAATAAGATTCTTGCAGCTGCCATGAGAAATCAGGAGGGATTGGAGGACATGGGGAACACAGGAACACGAGCTGTTTTCTGGTCCCTGGTCCCCCTTACCTGTAGTCACAACAGTCACATTTAAAGGGCCGGTCCTCACTGTGACGAAAGCGCATGTGGTTGCGGAGGGAGGAAGGCAGCGGGCAGGTCATGTCACACAGAGGGCACTTATAATGATTCACTGCGAGAAGCAGAGAGGAGGCTGTGATGTGAGAACTTGTGGAAGCTTGGAGGGTAGTAGGGAGGCTGGGGGCCGCAGGCCACTCACCATGGTTGCGCATGTGGTCCCGCAACAGCCGCTCCGTGGCAAATCTCTTGGAACAGTGAGAACACTGGAAGTGCTGCTCTGGGGTGGGGCAGGCAGAAGAAAGGAGGGCTGTAGGGGATAGTGGACAGGCACAGAAAGGAGAGGGGAACCATCCCAGGCAGAAGGGAACCACCCAAGGAGAAAAGGAGAGCTTAGGGAGCTATGAATGGACCAGTATCATGGAAAGAGCATGGGACTTGGAGAACCTGAGTTAGAATTCCAGCTTCACCACTTACTAGCTGTGTGATCTCAGGTAAGTGATTTAACCTCTCTGAGCCTCAGTTTCCTCATCTGCAAAAAGGGGGATAAGAAGCCTACCTCATGGGGCTGTTGTGAGGATTCCCTGAGTAACTGGTAATACACACAGTAAGTACTGAATAACAATGTCTACGAATCTGAATCAGCAAAGAGACTATGGGAGGTACCTGAGCCCAAAAAGAAGAGGGAGCCAAGAGGCAGGTCTCTTCAGCAGCCACCCCCGCTAGAAACATGCCCCTAACCCATTGCAAGCAGGATAGCCTGCATCTACCCCACTTCCTCTGACTACTTACGATCCAATGAGGTCTGGCGACGGATGTGATCTAAGAACTTGGTATTGTTGGCAAACATGCCCCCACAGGTGGGGCAGGCTACCACTTTCTCCTGGGTATGGCTGCGGAGGTGCTCCCGAAGTTTACTGCGGTCCTTGAAGGTGCAGGTACAGCCTAGGAAGGAAGCCCTGTCAGTCTCCAGCCACAAAACCCGTTTTGCCTAGGATTTGGTACCCCTGAGTCCCTCCAGCCAGCAGCCAACCTTGCCCCTGTAGGACCCCTATCCCTTTCTGTCCTAGCTCTTCAGCAACCCCAGGGTTTCTTCCAGAGACCAGAAGTTAAGGAGTAGCCCTACCTTTCCAGCCACACAGCACCACAGGGTTGTCCTTGCCGACTGCTTCGTATTCACAGCACAGACTGTGTGCTTCCACATGCCGATAAAACCACTCAGGATTGTCGAAGGAACTCTGTGCCAGGGCAACTTGGGGTGAGGACTGAGGGTGGGTAGAGGGACTCACCCCTATATGCCCAAAGAATTATTGGCTCTCTCCCAAATTAACTTGATGGGGATGGGAAAGTTTGAAGAAAGGCACTACACAGAAATGGAGGAGTGGCCAGGTGCGGTGGTGGCTCAACCCCATAATCCCAGCACTTTGAGAGGCTGAGGCAGGAGAATCACTTGAGGCCAAGAGTTCGAGACCAGCCTGGGCAACATACCCAGACCTTGTCTCTACAAAAAATTTGGAAGTTAGCAGGGCATGGTGGTACATGCCTGTAGTCCTAGCTACTTGGAAGGCTGAGGTGGGAGGATTGCTTGAGCCCAGGAGTTAAAGGTAACAGTGAGCTGTGATTACACCACTGTACTCTAGCCTGGGCTTCAGACCAAGAGCCTGTGTGTAAAAAATAAATAAATTTTAAAGAGAGCAAAAGAAATGGAGGAGAGATACTAGCAGGAATCTTGGAAATAGAAGGCATCCCTGAAAGGGACAAGGCTTCAGAGTTAAGACCCCCAGCTTCCTTCCACCCCAATTACTGGCACTGCCTGCTGACCTCACAGTGCTCCCACAGACACAGGAAGTGGTCAGGGATATCAGGGATGACGTTCCGGCTCTGGAAGTCCAGGATGCAGGGGCCGAGGTCAGCCTGGCTTTGCAAGGCCTGCAGCCCCCACTGTTTCAGCTTGGTGTGGTAGCAGTGGAAGTAGACATGGCGGATGAGGTCAGCAGAATTGTCCAGAGAACAAAAGCCACATTCCTGCCACAAGCAGGAGAATTCTTCCTCTGCAGAAAGGGGTTTAAAAGGAAGAGTCGGACACTTTCCAAGGCTCAGGTCACCTTCCCCCTGCAGCACTAAACAGAGAGTAAGGAGGCTGGACTCTAACCCAATTACCTGGAGTTCATTTAGCAAATACCAGTATTTAATGAACATAAATTGTGTGCCAGGTAGAGGGACTATAACAAGTAAAAAGTGTCCCACTCCTTGCCCTCACATAGCTTTCAGTCAGGGAGAAAGCATATTCATCAAATAATCAGATCTATAAATATAAAACTGCAACCAGTGATGAGTGTTACAAAGTGGGGATATACGTGGTGCTATAAAAGTATTAAACAGAGATAATTTGATGTAGACATGGTGCTCTGAGTAGCGTCCCCATGTTGAACTCTGAAGGACGACAGATGAGTATCTGTAAATAGGTGAAGTGTGGTCTAGGCAGAGGTGAGAGTGTGTGCAAGGCCTATGCCAGAAACAGACAGCAGAAATGGCCGGCATGCAAGACCTCTGACATGTGTTTCTGCAGTTCCTGATAAAGATGCTGCCTCTCAATCTCAGACACCTCCCACTTCTTGTAAAACCACCAGTCCTCCTTCCCCTCATGTTTTGCTTAAGATCTGCCTTCTCCAAGAAGGCCCCATCAACTCTTCCAATCCATTTCCTATCTCTCTAGCATCTCTAAATACTGTATTTTCAGTGCTTTATGGAAGTTAACTTGTTTTGAAACACAGATACCTTAGAAAATATAATCATGTCCCAATTTTTCTTTTGTATAAATATGACTTGAATTTTGAAACTATCACTTATGGTTCACAGTCACCAGACTTAAAACAGAATTTGGGGTGGGAGGAGGAGAGCTGCCTCCATATTTCCTGTAGAATACAGTTTCTCAGACTGTGTCGTGACCCACTAGTGGGTAATGAAATCAGTTCAATGAACTATAAACCACATTTTTGGGCTGGGTGTGGCGGCTCATGACTGTAATCCCAGTACTTTGGGAGGCTGAGGTGGGCGGATCACCTGAGTTCAGGAGTTTGAGATCAGCCTGACCAACATGAAGATACCCTGTCTCTACTAAAAATACAAAATTATCCGGGCATGGTGGCGCATGCCTGTAATCCCAGCTACTCGGGAGGCTGAGGGAGGAGAATCACTTGAACCTGGGAGGCAGAGATTGCAGTGAGCAGAGATTGCAGTGAGCCGAGATTGCGCCACTGCACTCCAGCCTGGGCAACAAGAGGGAAATTCTGTCTCAGGAAAAAAAAAAAAAAAAAAGAAAGAAAAAAAAAAGCCACATTTTCTTTTTAAATAAAAGAGAATAGGATAGAACATTGCAGAAAGCATTCAGTAAAAAAAGTATTATTTCAACGTTTTTTTTCTTTAACTTTGGTGTACAAGGTTGTAATACAAAATGTATTCCTTCGATACATGTTCTCAGAACCTCCTGAGGGCTGAGTCACAGGCAAAATAAAAACATTTAAAAAATAAAACAGGCTGGGCGCAGAGGCTCAAGCCTGTAATTCCAGCACTTTGGGAGGCCGACACGGGCGGATCACAAGGTCAGGAGATCAAGACCATCCTGGCTAACATGGTGAAACCCCATCTCTACTAAAAAATACAAAAAACTAGCCGGGCGAGGTGGTGGGCACCTGTAGTCCCAGCTACTCAGGAGGCTGAGGCAGGAGAATGGTGTAAACCCGAGAGGCAGAGCTTGCAGTGAGCTGAGATCCAGCCACTGCAAGGCAACAGAGCAATTCTCTGTCTCAAAAAAAAATAAAAAAATAAAACGCCGGGCACGGTGGCTCACGCCTGCAATCCCAGCACTTTGGGAGGTCAAGGCAGGCACATCACGAGGTCAGGACAAGAACATCCCGGCTAACACAGTCAAACCCCGTCTCTACTAAAAAATAAAAAAAAAAAATTAGGCGGTGTGGTGGTAGGCACCTGTAGTCCCAGCTACTAGGGAGGCTGAGGCAGGAGAATGGTGTGAACCCGGGAGGTGGAGCTTGCAGTGAGCGGAGATGAGCCACTGCACTCCCGCAAAAGAAAAAAAGAAAAGAAAAATGTATTCCTGCCAGATGCAATGGTCTATGCTTATAGTCCCAGCTGCTCAGCCTGCTGAGGCAGGAGGATTACTTGAGGCCAAGAGTTTAAGATCAACCTGGGTAACGCAGCAAGACTCTGTCTCTAAAAAACAGTTGTTTTGGCCAGGTACAGTGGCTCACACCTGTAATCCCAACACTTTAGGAGGCTGAGGCGGGCGGATCACAAGGTCAGGAGTTTGAGACCAGCCTGGCCAATATGGTGAAACCCCGTCTCTACTAAAAACACAAAAATTACCCAGGCATGGTGGTGGGCACCTGTAATCTCAGCTACTCGGGAGGCTGAGGCAAGAGAATCACTTCAACCCAGGAGATGGAGGTTACAATTAGCCAAGATTGCACCACTGTACTCCAGCCTGGGTGACAGAGTAAGACTCCATCTCCAAAAAAAAAAAAAAAAAGGTTTTTTTCCTTTTTCTTTTAAATCCTGCCACTTATTAGTACCATGACTTCGGACAAGTTATTTTATTCCTCTGTGCCTCCATTTCCTTATTTGTAAAATAGACATAATAATAGTACCTATCCCATCCTGGCTAACACAGCGAAACCCTGTCTCTACTAAAAATACCAAAAAAATTAGCTGGGTATGGTGGCATGCACTTGTAATCCCAGTTACTAGGGAGGCTGAGGCAGGAGAATTGCTAGAACCCAGGAGGGGGAGGTTGCAGTGAGCCGAGATCACACTACCACACTCCAGCTTGGCAACAGAGCAAGACTCAGTCTAAAAATAATAATAAATAATAAATAATAATAGTGCCTATCTCATAGGCTCTTTGGGAAATAGTGCTTTAATGTAGGTTTAAAAAAGTACTGGCCAGGTGTGGTGGCTCACGTCTATAATCCCAGCACTTTGGGAGGCTGAGGCGGGCGGATCACCTGAGGTCAGGAGTTCAAGACCAGCCTGGCCAACAGGGCATCCTGGCTAATATGGTGAAACCCCGTCTCTACTAAAAATACAAAAAAAAATTAGACGGGCGTGGTGGCACGCGCCTGTAATCCCAGCTACTTAGGAGGCCAGGGCAGGAGAATCACTTGAACTCAGGAGGCAGAGGTTGCAGTGAGCCAAGATCGCACCACCGTACTGCAGCCTGGTGACACAGCAAGACTCCGTCTAAAAAATAATAATAGGGCCGGGCACGGGGGCTCAAGCCTGTAATCCCAGCACTTTGGGAGGCCGAGACGGGCGGATCACGAGGTCAGGAGATCGAGACCATCCTGGCTAACACGGTCAAACTCCGTCTCTACTAAAAAATACAAAAAACTAGCCAGGCGAGGTGGCGGGCGCCTGTAGTCCCAGCTACTCAGGAGGCTGAGGCAGGAGAATGGTGTAAACCCGGGAGGCGGAGCTTGCAGTGAGCCGAGATCCGGTCACTGCACTCCAGCCTGGGAGACAGAGCGAGACTCCGTCTCAAAATAATAATAATAATAATAAATAATAATAGTGCCTACCTCATAGGCTCTGTGGGAAACAGTGCTTTAATGTTGGTTTAAAAAAGTACTGGCCGGGCGAGGTGGCTCACATCTGTAATCCCAGCACTTTGGGAGGCTGAGGCAGGTGGATCACCCGAGGTCAGAAGTTCGAGACCAGCCTGGCCAATATGATGAAACCCCGTCTCTATTCAAAGTACAAAAATTGGCCAGGTGTGGTGGCGGGCACCTGTAATCATGGCAAGAGGCTGAGGCAACAGAATTGCTTGATCCCGGGAGGTGGAGGTTGCAGTGAGCTGAGATCGCACCACTGCACTCCAGCCTGGGCGACAAGAGCGAGGCTCTGTCTCAAAAAAAAAAAAGTACCCAGCAATACTTGACACACAGTAGGTACTACAGAAGAGTTCACTATTGTTATTGTTTTCAGATTGGATTTTATTAAAATCCCAGTTATTTGCTATTGATAAAAGGCATACCTAAAACATAAGTCAGAGAAAGGTTAAAAAGTGTGAGATAGGGCTGGGCGCAGTGGCTCACGCCTGTAATCCCAGCACTTTGGGAGGCCAAGGCGGGCGGATCACGATATCAACAGATCGAGACCACCCTGGCCAACAAGCTGAAACCCCATCTCTACTAAAAGTACAAAAATTAGCTGGGCGTGGTGGCGCACGCCTGTAGTCCCAGCTACTCGAGAGGCTGAGGCAAGAGAATCGCTTGAACCTGGGAGGCGGAGGTTGCAATGAGCCGAGATTGAACTACTGCACTCCAACCTGGCAACAGAGCAAGACTCCGTCTCAAAGCAAAAAAAAAAAAAAAAAATTGGGAGGTGGGAATAGGGTTGGACTTGGTGGCACACGCCAATAGTCCCAGCTACTCAGGAGGCTGAGGTAGGATTGCTCGAGGCCAGGAGTCTGAGATCCGTGGGCAACATAAGCAAGATCCTGTCTCTAAAAATAATAAAAATTAAAAAAAAAAAAAAATTGGCGTGTGGTGGTGGTACATGCCTGCAGTCCTAGATACCCGGCATGCTGAGGCAGGAGGATCCCTTGAGTGTTGAAGGCTGCAATGAGCTATGATCATGACACTGGACTCCAGCCTGGGTGACAACGTGAAGAAGCCCTGTCTCTAAAAAAATAAGATGCATTTCTGACTGGTTGCAGTAAAAGAAAAAAAATTGGGAATACTAGCAGAGTAAAAAAAAGAAAAAAAAAAGAAAAAAAAAACAGGTTGCCAACAACTTGTACAGAATTATCTTTTAAAAAAAGCATATTCATCTGTATTTAAATATATGTAAACACATGCAAAGAGATGTCAAAAATAATGTTCAAAAATAATGTTCACTAAAGTACTGTCAGCAATTACTTTTTGATGGCAGGATGGCAGATTTATTCCTTATATCCTTGTTGACTGAGTTTTCTATAAATGAGTTTACAATGTTTTTATATACAACAAAAACACAATCAGGAAAATAAATCACCATTCTCTCAGGCCGCCTTCTTCCTGTAAGGAAAAGAAAGTCAGATTTTCCACCTTTCTTTGAGCTCCTCCCCTTCCTGTGTCCTGCTGTCTTACCAAGTGGGTCATCCTCCTCTTCCTCTTCCTCCTCCTCCCCAGGGCCGTGCAGGTGCTGCTGCAGGTGCTGAGTGACATGCTCGAAGAACTTTTCCATGGCTGAGCACACAAAGGAGCAGGACCCCCACTCACACTGGAGCCACAGATTCTCCTTCCGAGGAACTTTCCCAGGAGGCGGCATGGCCTTCACCCTAGAGGAAGAGGAAGAAATCCACAGCTGCAAGAATTCCACCCAGGTGCTGCTGGGGGCAAAAACCTGGGCAGGCAGCCTGCCTAGAATCAGCACGTGTTGTTCCAGTGACCCATGAGAAACCCTGCACTTTTACAGTAAGGATGGAGTAATTCCTTAAATCCCTGGAGGATGTCTGGTGTTTGTGGAAGGGAAAACAAAAACTAACACTACTGAGTGTGTGCCAGGCACTGGGCTAAACGCTTTAACAGACATTTTCTCATGAAGCTTCAGAGCAACCCACCAAGAAGGAATTATTCCTATGTGAGGAAGAACAATGCTCAGGTTCAAACAGATGGCTTTTGAGAAAGATCAGCGTTCAAATCCTGGCTCCATTGTTCACCACCTACTAGCTGTATGACCTTTGTCAAGAACTCAACTCATAACTCTGAATACTCTCATCTGCAAAATGAAGATAATAAATCTTTTTGTTTTTAATTTCACACTTATTATATGTCAAGCACCCTAGTAAGCATTTTATTTGCATTATGTCATTTAATTACCAACACCACCCTTTGGGGTAGGTGCTTTTTTTTTTTTGAGATTGAGTTTCACTTGTCTCCCAGACTGGAGTGCAATGGCTAGATTTCAGCTCACTGCAACTTCTGCCTCCCAGGTTCAAGCGATTCTCCTGCCTCAGCCTCTCGAGTAGCTGGGATTACAGGTGCCTGCCACCACGCCTGGCTAATTTTTATATTTTTAGTAGAGAGAGGGTTTCCCCATGTTGGTCAGGCTAGTCCCAAACTCCTGACCTCAGGTGATCCACCCGCCTTGGCCTCCCGAAGTGCTGGGATTATAGGCGTGAGCCACCACGCTCAGCTGGTAGGTGCTATTTTTAACCTCATTTACAGATAAACACCTGAAGTTCCAGAGGTCAACTGTCTTGCTCATAGCCACACACTAGTGGTAATGGTAGGGTCATGTTGAGCTGACTCTAGTCCATATATGGTTCTACTCCATATAGCCTGCAGATGAGCCCAGAAGCTCCTTATTTCTTACTGAATCATAAGTCCCCTGCCAGACTTTCAAAGTGCCATACAATCTGCCTTTACCTAACCTATCCAATGGTTTACTCCACCACTCTGCTAATACCTTGTTAAAATGTAGATTCCGTTTGAACATAAAAAGTCATTATCTATGTAGTTTATACGGCACCTTGGGTGTCTACACGCCGCTAGACATGCTTAGGCATTAACAAATTTTTTTTTTTTCTTGAGACAGAGTCTCACTCTGTCACCCAGGCTGAGTACAGTGGCACAAAAATCACAGCTCACTGAAGTTTCAACCTCCCTACGGTCAGGAGATCCTCCCACCTCAGCCTCCCAAGTAACTGGGACCATAGGCATGCGCCACCACATCTGTCTAATTTTTATTTTGTTTTTGCCATGTTGCCCAGGCTGGTCTCGAATTCCTGGACTCAAGCAATCCATCTGCCTCAGCCTCCCAAAGTGTTGGAGTTACAGGCATGAGCCACTGCACCCAGTCTGTAATAAATATTTATTGAAGAAAGATAAACACAGAACTGAAGGTTCTTGGCCAGGCGCAGTGGTGCACACCTGTAATCCCAGCACTCTGGGAGGCCAAGGCAGGTGGATCATCTGAGGTTAGGAGTTCGAGACCAGCCTGGCCAACATGGTGAAACCCTGTCTCTACTAAAAATACAAAAATTAGCCAGGCGTGGTGGCATGGTGGCACAAGCTACTCAGGAGGCTGAGGCAGGAAATCGCTTGAACTTGGGAGGCAGAAGCTGCAATGAGCCAAGATCGTGCCACTGTATTCCACTGTACTCCAGCCTGGGTGACAGAGTAAGACTGTCTCAAACACACACACACACACACACACACACACACACACACACACACAAACTAAAGGTTGTCAATTTTATTTTATTTTTATTGTTTGAGACAGAGTCTTGCTCTGTCGCCCAGGCTGGAATGCGGTGGCACAACCTCAGCTCACTGTAACCTCCACCCACTGCAACCTCCACCTCCAGGGTTCAAGCGATTCTTCTGCCTCAGCCTCCTGAGTAGCTGCGATTACAGGTGTGTCACCACGCCTGGCTAAGTTTTGTATTTTTAGTAGAGACGGAGTTTCACCATGACGGCCAGGCTGGTCTCAAACTCCTGACCTCTGGTGATCCACCCACCTCAGCCTCCCAGAGTGCTGGCATTACAGATGTGAGCCACCGTGCCCGGCCGGTTCTTAATTTTAGATCTGCACCTGAATGTAGAGTTATCCAGCGCCTGCCTGAGAAGTTCAGATTCAGGAAGGCAGAGGTTAAGCCTAGAAATGTGCCCTTTTTACTCAGCACCCCAGTTGTGATACAAGCAGTTCCAGAAGCATACTTTGAGTAACAATAAAGACTAAACAAAATACAGAACAGAGGGTGACATTGCAAGCAAACTTTCTGGTAGACAGAGGACACTAGCTGGCCTTGGCTCTGTCTCCTGAGTGTCACCTTCTCCTCAGGAATTCTCACTGATTCTTGCTGACCCCACCATGTTGCTCTCTCTGGCCTACCTGAGACAGGTGGGGACTCTGAAAAAGGCCTTTACTGAATACTAAAAGGAAAAAAACAGAAAATACAAAAAAACAGAAGATCCTTCATGCCTCCAATACAGGCTTTTCTGAACCTACTATACCCACTATACCTACATAGCCTTTTCTCCTCCCCAGAGAAGAATCTAGTCATCCTTAACACTCTGGGGTGTATGTGGGGCTGCTGAGCTGCTCACAGACTAACAGTGAATCCCTATTACAAATGTTGACTGCTGGGCCGAGCGCAGGGGCTCACAATCTTAGCACTTTGGCAGGCCGAGGTGAGCAAATGGCTTGAGCTCAGGAGTTTGTGACCAGCCTGGGCAACATGGTGAAACTCTGTCTCTACTAAAAATACAAAAATCAGCCAGGCACAGTGGCTCATGCCTGTAATCCCAGCACGAGGTGGGCGGATCATAAGGTGAGGAGATCGAGGCCATTCTGGCCAAATACAAAAAAGCAGCTGGGTGTGGTGGCATACGCCTGTAGTCCCAGCTACCAGGGAGGCTGAGGCAGGGGAATCGCTTGAACCCGGGAGGCAGAGGTTGCAGTGAGCCGAGATCGCACCATTGTACTCCAGCCTAGCGACAAAGCAAGATTCCATCTCAAAAAACAACAACAAAAAACAGCCGATGTGGTAGCATGCACCTGTAGTTTCAGCTACTTGGGAGGTTGAGGTGGGAGGATGGCTTGAGCCCAGGAGGCAGAGGTTGCAAAAGAGCCAAGATCACACCATTGTACTCCATCCTAGGCGGCAGAGCCAGACCCTGTCAAAAAAAAAAAAAAAAAAAAAAAAGAAGAAGAAGAAAGAAATATTGAACATTGACTGCTTTTATAATGTTGGGGTAAGAAAAGTAGAAAAAAAGCTTCCAAAAGTCATAAAATTCCACACCTCCTCTGACTCTCTATTACAGTATGAAATGCAAGGCTCTTCTCAAAGTGGTCTCATTTTTACTTCTCCAGGTCTAGGTAGGGAAACGAACATCTATTGAGAGGCTACAGTGTGTCAGCCCTGTGGTGAGTCCTCTCTACACTTCATGTGATGTAAGAGCACCCTCATTCCAATCCAGAGATCATGCTCTTTCCCCCACACGATGCTGTTCTCTGGCTTCCTCACCCATACTTCATTCCTTCTTCCTCCGATTCCATCATCTTTGTCTCTGAATACCCTACATTCTCCTATAACTCTATGCCAATGCAAGTTCTTTTTTTTTTTTTTTTTTTTGGAGACGGAGTCTTGCTCTGTTGCCCAGGCTAGAGCGCAGTGGTGTGATCTTGGCTCACTGCAACCTCCGCCTCCCAGGTTCAAGCGATTCTTGTGACTTAACCTCCGACGTATTATAGCTGCGACTATAAGCACGCACCAACACGCCCGGCTAATTTTTGTAGTATTAGTAGAGATAGGGTCTTGCCATGTTGGCCAGGCTGGTCTCAAACTCCTGACCTCAAGTGATCCACCCGCCTTGGCCTCCCAAAGTGCTGTGATTACAGGTGTGAGCCACCGTGATAGGCCTGCCTATGCAACTTCTATTTGCCCTTCAAACCCAAAAGCCCTCTCTTTGATGACCCCTTTCCCAATTCATCCAGGTACAGCTGGCATATCCCATCTCCTGCCCACAGCATCCATCCACATCTTTGCTATCACTGCAATGAAACTTGTTTCCCCTAGACTAGGAGTTTCTCAGGATAGTAGCCATCACTTATTCATTTCTCGTTCCCAGATTCAGCACAGAGCTTTGCACACCCCAGGTACTCAATAAATATCAGGAGGTAATCACATTCCGGGAAGCATTCCTAAACTACCCCATCCTTGGATCTACTTCTGCTCCTTAGTTCTATGGCTGGCACAGCTGACACCATAAAACCTCAACCCTATTTTTATGTTGCCACGGTCGTTTTATATGTTCTAGTCTCGTTTACCCAACTGGACTATAAGAAGCTTCTGAGCAGAAACCATATCATACCTGCCTGTGTCCCTATACTGTGCCGAGCACAAATATTCTAAACATACACCTGCTGTTAGACTAGTGGGTAAGACCAAGGAGGCAAGCTAGCTGGAGATACAGAATGATCTGAAACCTAGGCAAAACTCCCTGACTCTCTCTGACTGTGCTCCTGTCTTCTTTAATTTCTCTTCCTGTGTCGCTTGTTTCTACTCTGAGGAGACAGGGGCATGATTATCACTCCACCCTCTTAACACTTAAGAGAGCATATATTGTAATGCAAGACAATGAATGAACTGTGGTATTCAAGAAAAAGAGGGTCCTAAACGCCTAAGAACTCATAATTTGGCCAAAGACATAAGACTGATATGTGAAGACAACGACCAAAACAAAGTACCCGATGAGGGAGACCAGGACAGAAAGAAACCTCCGCGGTCAGGCGAAAAGGAAGGCTCCCCTAAGCGATGGGGCCCGCACCAAGCCTCGAACGATAAGTAGAATTTAGACAGAAGGAAGGAGACCGTCCCGTTGGACAAAACCTCTCCACTCGCAGTCTCGCAGGCTTCCCGGAATCCTTCCCCCCAAGGCGTGGCAGCGACCGACCCTCAGCCGCAGCGAAGCCCCTCGACTAGAAAGTAGGGAGGTTCAAGTCGGGGTGAGGGGACCGGACCAGGGCAGACCAGCGTGGCCAAGCGGCAAGAAGACTCGCCGAAGCGGCTCGGGATGAGCCCGGCCTCCTGCAGCCTCTGCATAGCACATACCCGCGGTTACCATCCGTCGGCTCCGGGTCTCTTCAGCTCTTCTCCCACCTCAGACCATCTCCGGGGAGGTGCTTGAGGGACGGTCAAGGAAAGCCAATCGTCGTTCTCGGATCCGACTGACAGCCAATGGTAGTAGTGTCTGGCGGAACCCGTGCGCACCAAAACACGGAAGGGGCGGGAACGGCGGGTGGGGCTAGGCGTCCCGGGCGGACAGAGGGACGACCGGATACGTGCAAAAGGTAGCACATGACCGCGCCTCGATGCTCGGGGCGACGCAAAGGCGGGGAGCGTTTGGGCCTGAATTCCCCTAACTGCGCAGACTCGGCCTCCGGGACCCAACGGGCATGCGCAGGGCTCGCGCCAGGTGCCCAGTGGGGTCTCCCTCACGTGGTTCTTCGGTTTAGTTGGCCGGTTGCGTGGGCCTCGCGGAGGAAAAGGCGTGGGAGGCTGCCCAGCGGTGTCGGCCCTGCTCGGCTCAGATTGAAGGTTCTACCCTTTCCTTCAGCCTCTTAGTCTTACTATGTTTTAAATGTTGGTATTATGTTTCTCTTTCCCCCCAAAACTCGGCTTCCCTTCATCCATCCACTCGTTCAGGTCGGAAACCTGGCAGTCATCACTGATTCCTCTCACTTGTCACATCCAATCCATTGCCAAGTTCTGTGGATTCTACCTCCTTTTAAAACAGGATATTTCAAATTCATCCCCTTTTCTTTATCTTCACCGCCTCCTCCACCTCCCCTGTCCAGTGATGACCTCCAGGCAGGATTTATACATTAGTCTAACGGGTCCCGCTGCGTGCACACTTGCTTCCTTCCAAAGCATTCTCCACTTTGCAAAAAGTAGACCTGATCAAGTTACCACCTGCTTCAGACAATTCAAAGGCATTCTATTGCCTTCAGGGCAAAGCTCCAAAACCTTACTGAGGCTTTTTAGACCCTTCAGCATCTGGGCTCTCCCTACTTTTTTTTTTAGTCCCTCTCGACCATATTTCTTGCTCTCCAGTCACAAATTTCTTTCACCTTTTCCACCACACCAAGCCACCTTTTACCTCTCAAGCCTTGGACTTGTTTTCTTTACCTGGAATAATCCCTTTCTCCTCCTCCCACATTTATTTGACTGATTCCTACTAATTCTTATGGTCTCAGTGTAGACACTTTTTCCAAAAAGTCTTCCTGATAGTTCTTTCTTGTATTTAACAATACAGCTCAATCACATTGTATTCGTCTGTTTACTCTGCATTCTGCGCTAGACTAGTTCTTCACCTTTATAACTCCATCAGTGGGCCGGGTGTCGTGGCTCACGCCTGTGATCCCAGCACTTTGGGAGGCCAAGGCGAGTGGATCACATGAAGTCAGGGGCTCAAGACCAGCCTGGCCAACATGGGGAAACCCTGTCTTTACTAAAAATACAAAAATTAGCTGGGCATCGTGGCGGGCGCCTATAATCTCAGCTACTCAGGAGGCTGAGGCAGGAGAATCGCTTGAACCCAGGAGGCAGAGGTTGCAGTGAGCTGAGAGCTGAGATGGCACCACTGCACACCAGCCTAGGCGACAGAGCAAGACTCTGTCTCAAAACAAAACAAAAACCCATCACTCAGCCCAGTGGCTGAAACTCAGTAAGGGTTCAAGACATACTTGTTAAATAATATACCTCAGTAAAGTTCGTTAAGATTGATATTTTATTGCATTGTAGTTTTCTGTATCTTCTAATATAAAAATAAACCTCAATAATTTGTATAATCAGCGAACACATTAAATGTTGAATATATATAAAATAAAATTTTAAATGCCATTAAGATAGTAAAGTCATACTTGTGCATAAATTTTGGCTTTTGGTTTTAACAACAGTGAGTTGTAACTTGGTCCCTATTTTAAAATAGGGTTTTGCCGGGCGCTGTGGCTCATGCGTGTAGTCCCAGCACTTTGGGAGGCCGAGGCGGGTAGATCATGAGGTCAGGAGCTTGAAACCAGCCTGGCCAACATGGCGAAACCCCATCTCTACTAAAGATACAAAAATTAGCCAGGTATGGTGGTGGGCACCTGTAGTCCTAGCTACTCAGGAGGCTGAAGCAGGAAAATCGCTTGAACCCGGGAGGCAGAGGTTGCAGTGAGCCAAAATCACACCCCTGCACTCCAGCCTGGGCAACAGAGACACTGTCTCAAAAAAAAAAAAAAAAAAAGTTTTAAAAAATGTAATTCAAAAGTAACAGAATATATCTTACCAACTTTATTCATTCAAAAATGCATATAGTAGTACTTCATGAAATGCCAACCTCATTTTAATTCAGATTTGCTCCACTGAAAATAGCTTTTAGCTTTATTTAGCAATTTTATGAAGAAAAAGTTCATTCACAGAGCTGTGTAAACTCAAACATAGGTTACAGAGCAAAAATTTCAGGATTGCTCTGGGATCCATATATATGTTTCCAAAATTTAAAGCAGTGTCATGCTGTCTAGCATAGTTTACTTCTATCTCAATCTGCTTCTCTTGAAAACAAGCCACAATTTTGGCTGGGTAATTCAGACATATCCCGAGATTTGTTCTTTAAAAGCTGCCACAAAAACTGAAAGCATAATTCATACTCATTAAAAGCTGTGGATCTCTTCTGAAAGTGTGAAATGGATTAAGTTGATGAAAATATGTTTCGTATTTTTTTCATTCATTTAAAAATTCCCTATTTTTGAAACGTGATCAGGCTCTTCTTCACTAAAATATGTCATTCCATGGAACTCTGGGCAGCTCAGCACTGGAAGCTCAATACAGATTCCAGTTACCATCTACTCAGTCCCCAGGTCTTGTAGAAATCTGAATACCTGTTCTTCCATCAACAAAAGTTTCTTGTGCAATCACAAGTTCATTGTGTTTGGCTGTCCTGTCATACTGGTAGAAAAACTGTTCCTCTGTGAACCACTAGAGTTACATTTCTTAGATTAGGGGAAACAGCTTGAAAAACCTCTTTGAATTTTCATGACCTAGAATTGAACATTTCACTATATAAAAATCAACCAAATCGATGTGTCCATCAATGGAGGATTGGATAAAGAAAATGTAGTGAATG